TTAACTCTTAGCATGCTGACTGCTACAAAATCTACTAATGCCACCAGTGCAGACTAAAATCAGCCAGCATGGATTGTTTGATCATCATGTCTACCCCATTTAGATATTTAGCTTTGTAACTGTCAAATATCTCAATAAACTTAAATTTACATCTGCATGACCATAGTGATATATAATAATATGTAATATGTCAGTCTGATGTTCAAAATCAATTCTGGGGATGAAGAGTTTTTTTGTTTTGTTTAACTGTCCACCAATTAAAATTTTGGCCATATGGTGCCAAAACAGGAACAATGATTTTGGCTAACCCCAGGTGTTACAAACTTGAAGCAACACCAGGGCTCAAAATCATCAAACCTGCTGCAGTAAAGAGAGCATAGACTCCAGTAATTCGAACCCATTTAGTCACCTTTTACGATGACATAAGGATAAATGGTGTCGGCAATTCTAATGCCTTAACCCATAACGGCAATCAGCCACAAGGGGGAGATGAACGAGTATAAGTTTTCTCGTTTCTATATCATTTTCAACAGAAGATTAACATCAATCTATATAAATGCAAATCTACATTAGCCGAATAACAGAACAATACAATAGGGTAATCAAATGCTGAAGTATTACTTTCTTAACACATTAATGTCAGGGAAGTATTTTAAAATACCATTACCACTGAATCTTTCTGGACACTCGTGAGGTTTATAAGTAAGTTGTGTATTGATTTCCATCATCCCGAAATTCTCCCAATAGACATATATAATCACAGTATCTGATGAAAATTCTGTGTACGTTCTTGTGCATTTAATCAGGAGAAAAAGCTTTTTTTGGCATGCATTAATCAAAGAAATACGTAATCCATTTCCTAGAATATATTATTTGTCGTACAATTTTTGACAGGACTTAAATGGCCCAGATTAAACAATGGTATTAAGGTAATATCTCTCGAAGCCACTAGATAAAGATTATATAGTAAAACAACAGTTTATACATGACCTTGAAATACTGCGTAACCAATCAATAATGCAGCAAAAAGTACTTTTTTCTTTTATTCAAATATCAAATAACTATTAATATCCTTATATACATATATATGTCCATATATACAATTAATATAAACCTTCAGAGCTGTCACTATAAAATGAGCCATGTAACGACAAAACCAACATAATGGGTTTGCGACTGAGCATCCGCGCAGTCTGATCAGGATCCATGCTGTTTGCTTACAAACTCTATAACAAGTAGAGAAACTGATAGCGAACAGCATGGATCCTGATCAGACTGCGTGGATACGCAGGCTGGTCTGGATCCATGCTGGTCGCACCCATTATGTGTGTTTTGTCATCGCGTGGCTCAATTATATCTCTACTATCATAGTCTATTGACTCAGTGTTTACCATTAACCTGAACTGAATATTTTAAATGGAATTGTCCATGTTCCATTTTAGAACTATCCAGTATCAACGTTTTGGATATTATGATGAAAATTTGAAACTGGTCAGCCAACAGTATGAAGCTGGCCAGGCTCTAAACAAGTGGCAAAGGCTAATCAATATGAAATCCAGCAGAACTTGTGTTCACATATTTAACACTGTACATTTACCTCAGTTTTCAATCATGGCAGCATAATAATATAAATGAAATCAACTCTTTTATAAATTTGACTTTAAACCTTTAAGGAGTAAAATGATACAAATTCATGAAAAAACGATTAAAATAAAAATTAAGAACAAAAGACAACAGTCTTCTCAATAATTTTTTTTTTGTTTTTTAATTGTCAAACTTTAAAAGATCGCTGGACATTTTTTGTTTTCCACGTAACTTAACAGCTGAGCTGGGTAACTTGAATTCTGATATGCTATCTTTCTGTAAAGCTGAGGCAACAAAAAGATGGTGATCCAAATGGTTATACTGGACTACTGGTCTATAGATAAATCTTACTAAATATTCTAACTAAATCTGAATAAACATCTGATTTTTTATATCAATCGTGCTTACATCAGAATGAACAAGTTGTATTCTTCATTATATATTCATTAAAAATCTGTCAGATAAGGTACATACAAGCTTTATTTCTACCAAAAAAAACCCCATAAAGTTTGGCACAGAAGCATTAGGACAGTATTTTGTTGTATTTATTGATGTAAATCATGCAATATTCACGGAATTATATCCCAGAACAGAACGCTATCTCTAAATCAGTTTATATATTTCACCTTACTTACTCTGAAATATCGGAATACTTAAGGACTACTTTAATACAAAATTTACTTAAATTTGCTTGTGTAGGAAGCTATAAGCTAATAAACATGTTTTCCAAAATATTCCTAGGACAAACCAGCACTATAAGCAGTAATTGTTTAACGTTTCTTGCTCAAGGAAACAATATGGCTTGTTCCTGACAGGTTCTGAACTTAATCAGTCAATACAATATGTTTATGAATTGAGGAACATAACAAAACACACTGTTTTATTAAGGTAAATTAATCAGCAGAGAAAATAAACAGCAAAACAAGAACATTCTGTCAATCAGCATGTCAGTACCAATAACACTTTATATACTGATGCACTTTTCTGAGCACTGACCAACAACTAAGTGCTTCCCCTTGCAAAATAATAACTAATTAGCTGAATTATCAGTTGGTCAATTTTTGAGAAAAGTAAATACACCTTGTGACTTCCCTTTTCTTCATTGTCAACTCATTCTTTATTGATGTTTTTTGTAAAAAAACTTTAAATAGTTCTGACAGATGGGACTAACTGTTATATACTTAAACATTCCTAACTTTTTGTGACTCACTATCAGACTTACTTATATAGTTAACTTTTTTTTTATTTATTGCTTATAGTTAAGACTAGAACCTTTAATAATACAGCACATTAATGCCTCCAGGACAGTATAAGAAACTGATGTTACCTGGAACTCGGCAAATGTGGGGTTTTCCCAATCTTATCCTGGGTAGAAACTCTGTTATAGCTTCATGGTATAATACTGCTCACAATAGTGCTCAACTTTGCACTTATTATTTATGCACAATTTTACCAATTTATTAACTGACCTTTTTACCAAGTGCAAAACTCCAAAATGTCTATATGAAAGAAATATGTTGGCATTACTTAAAACTGCAGCAAAATATTTTGTTTCAAATCATTTTATTCTGTTTAATACATACATTATAAATGTGTGTGAAATAACAAGAACAATCTAAATAACAACTCCATCGAGAATCCAACATATTAAGATTATGGAAATAAAGAATTTTACAGTTTTTAGTTTGTTTTTTTTTAAATATTTCATTAGACATAGATTTATACCCTTTATAACACTTTAGTTTAAAGCACCATTTCTGCACTTCTACCAGAAATATAATAGAGACATTCTACATCTATGTGTTATCATAAAATTGTAAAAACATGTTTGCCTGATCCACAGAATGAAAAAGATCAAATGTTTCTGAGGCATAATGTGCCTTTAAGGAATCAATATATACATATACTGCTCTGACAAAATAAGACTAATTTGACCATCTTTATTTTGTTATTTTGACAAGATACAGTATCAAAAAGCTTTTTAACCAAGGTTATTTTTTCTATTTCTGTAGACATGAATGTTAAATGTAAAGTGATCAATAATACTTTTACAGTCGTGGTTTATCACAGGGAGACATTTCCCGCCATTATCTGTCTCAGTATTTAATAACTGCCTTTCAATAATGCTTTTTCTCCATTTCTCTAGTAGATATACCCCCCCAGGAAATAAAATATAATAGGAACTCCTTAAGGAAATAAAACCAAGAAACACTACATGTTTTTTTACCAAATAAAGAAAATAAGTTTATTGTGTAAGACACATGTGTTATCAAGACAGAATAAAAAGACTTGCCACTTAAAGATTTTTTTACTATATAAAAGACAAACGATTCAAAATTTAGAAAATATTTCAACAAAGATCTAACTAAAATTGGCTTTATGAAATGAAAATAAGTAACATCACTTATTAACATCTATGGGTTTTTTTTTCCATACAATAGCTATATATTCAAGAAATCTCAGATTTTTTTGTCCGTAACTTGATTCTTTAATAGTTTACTCAATGGTGATCTTTTTACTTTGTAAATATTCTCTCTAAGAAAATCATTCACATCATAACATTTTACTGTTTCTGACATTTGTGTTGTTACTGTTTGTTTGTAAACAACAAGAATTCATCAACAGGTATCACAGAGGTTATAACAAGTCATTGTACAAACAGATTACATCTTGAACACTATCTGTGCTATAGTGACTTAACTAAGTAAGTCATCAGTAGAACTACAGGCCAAACTGTAAATATAATTGAGCCATGTCATGACAAAACCAACATAGTGTGTTTGCGACCAGCATGGATCTAGATCAGCCTGCTCATTAGTGCAGTCTGATCAGGATCAATGCTGTTTGCTATCAGTTTCTCTACTTGTAATAGAGTTGGTAAGCGAACAGCGTGGATCCTGATCAGACTGTGCAGATGCGCAGGTTGGTCTGGATCCCTGCTGGTTACAAAACGACTATGTTTTAGTTGTTGTTTGTGATTTGGCTCTATAATTGAAAGTAACCAGATTCTTTCCGTAATTGATTTTTCATAGTTAATCATTATTTACACTGGAAATATTCTCAACGTAAAGAGAATTTTCATTTACAAATTGATAGGATAAGCTCAGTAATGTGTGACAAGTGTTTAATGCCTCTAACAAATGGAATATCATTTCTTCTAAATTTAAAGTTACATAAAATGATATTGAAATAGGATAAAATGAATGTGTAAAACTGAGAAAATTATTAATATACCTAACAAAAAATGTCAGTAATTTAATTAACATTTAAATGTCTATGATTCTACACCAGTGATTTTGCTATTACCATATATCACCAATATTTTCTAGATAGAAAAAGCAAACCATCTCGAGATTAGGAATATATCTCCTTACCACGAAAAGTTATTGAAATTCACAACTCCATTATTAACTTACTCTCATATTCCGGTTTTCCGGCATCAGCGTCGCAGGTAAAAAACGTCTGATGATCTTGCGCAGAAAGATTCATGTCATAATATGTCAGCGGGTCTTTATTCGCCTTCCATGTAAATCGTAAATACTCAGCCCCTCGGAATAAATTCAACGGATTTCGCCACACTTTACACTCTATAGGAAGTAAATTAATACACATTTAAGTACATGATTCCTTCAGTTGATAATCTACAACAGATATTGCCATGTCTAAACCAAAATAATTCATATTTAAAAACAAATATTCACATTCTCTTATGATGAAAATTACTTCAAATTTCATGCTAAGTTTTACAAGATGTGCATAAGCTAGTAACATCTATAACCACTGACTCTGATGATATGAGCTGCGTCACGACAAAACCAACATAGTGCGTTTGTGACCAGCATGGATCCAGACCATCCTGCGAATCCGCACAGTCTGATCAGGATCCATGCTGTTCTCTAACCAACCCTATTACAAGTAGAGAAACTGATAGCGAACAGCATGGATCATGATCAGACTGCGCAAATGCGCAGGCTTGGCTGGATCCATGCTGGTCACAAACGCACTATGTTGGTTTTGTCGTGACATGGCTAATATATTTTTTGTACAATTGGCTTAAATCTCAAGAACTGAAAGCCTCTATGCTTTGACTACTTTATGTATAACAGATTTTGAGATATTTATGAAAAATAATCAAGCATACCTAACAAAATATTTCAAATTCAGTGGCTTTACAAAAGTATTCAACTAAAATTCAAACAGCAAAAAAACTTCACACAAATCACACAATGCATGCTGGTCAATTTAAAATCATGAATTTAAGGTGACAACAATATGAAAATTGAACAAACATTATCTTGTAGCAGTAAATAAATGACATGGACTCACAGAAGTTGGATCTAAAAGTAACAACAATCAAAGAAAAAAAAATCTTGCATGCACATTTTTCATGAATTTTTTACTGCTTGAGTTTTCAGTACCAGTGAGTAAACAGCAAGGTCAATTTTAAGTTTTACTAAATATAGCCCAGGAAAGGCTAGTGGGAGAGGGGAGATGATGGAGGCTGTCAATCAAAAGACCAATCATAAATTAGTTAAAATTTGTTGACTGGACAGTAAAGTGTGTTGAGATATATCAATGTTATTTATAGAATTTCAAAAAAAACGACAATAAAAACTGTCGGCAGGTACATGCAAGCAGTGTGTGATTTGTGTGTAACATCCTGGCAAGGGGCAAACTGTACAACAAACATGCAAAAACACTTGGAAAAAAAAATAAACCAACATTAAATTCTTGGACAAATTTTGATAAATTAATTGTATCTTTCATTTATTATTTATATTTATAAAAAAAAATGACATTGTTTGTGCCTTCTTGATAGCATTAATAATGCATGCAATTATATTCTGAATGTGACCATGTCTTGAAATATTTATAAATAAAAGAAGAGTTGCTTTTGTTATATCTTTTCTTCTACTGAAATATCATTGTCTTTTTTTTCATACAAAGTAACAGATAGCATCAATACAAATCCATAAAGGATACCATTTAAATCCAAATCTTCATCATACAATGGCCAGTAAACTAGTCTGGATCTATGTTTATCAGCTTTATAAAGAGTAACCTCTGGGTAGAAATGCAAAGCTAGTCTGGATTTATGACTATTTAGATTTTACTGTTGATTTATATTGTTTGGTAATGAGGTCAACCTGATGATTATTTATTGGTCATACAGAAACTTCAAGCTCTAATGCTAAAGAATTTAAGACTTTTAAATGATTTCAGGCACTATATCAGTAAAGAATAAATGTTTTGCCATGCTTACTGGATGTTTTGTTTTCTCCTTTGAGAACAAAATCCATGAGAATAACTGAGCACAACTTTCAGTCAGTGACTATGTGGTGAGACTACTTGGCCATTGTAATATCATTAATATCATAGACAAGCTCCAAAAATCTATCCATGGCTTTAATAAACCTGTTATATCAAGGGAAGTAACGCTTCATCAGATAATATGTAATCATTTATCATACATACCTGAAGGTCTTTCTAAACAATAGATTTTATGACATGTCTCAATGACTATGCTCATTTGGTAAGGCAATCATGAAAAAATGAACAAATTATAAACTTTAAATAGCATGCTTATAAAAAACAACACAATATGCAAGTCAAACAACCAAACATTGCAAACAAATGAAGATATATAACTTAGAGAGATATGAAAATCTCTAAAACTTAACATTTTAACTATTTACCTATCTCTATCAGATAAACTGTATCGTCTATAGTGAAAAATAAAAGCAGAATCTACAAGAAAAAAAATCAAGCCAAAGTTGAATGTTTGAAATATTCACAAAAAAATGTTCTGTAGTTTTTTTTACACTTTTGATCAATTTCATTGTTATATAACTAAATATATAACTATCAAGTTTTGTTGTGTTTTGCCCATTACCAGCATAAACTTTGATACCTGGCATACTTTGCTGTCCTTGAGTGTTATTATTTCCATTACTTGTGCCGTTGGCAGTCCCGTTGGCCGTAGCTCCGTTACCATTCTCCGTGGTAGTAGCAGGTTCACCGCCCAGAAGTGGCGATATATGGTTCAATGATACCTGTTCTATAAAAGACGTCCCATATTTCTTGAAATACCACCACTCAAATATCTGAAACGTAAACCAAATACAATTCATGTAAGAAACTTAATAAAAAGTTAAATACATACATATAGATAAGCTTCAAGCTTTTCTCACAATAGAACTACATGTAAATTAAACATGTTTAAAATAATGAGAAGTCTGGTTGCTACTGGCTAATAAATATATAATCATTATTCATAATTATTACTACCATTACCTAAAGTGTTTATATTTGTGTACAGCTAAACTCACTCTGATTTCTTGTCAAAAGAAAAGTACCAGTTTTCATATTTTTTTTCCCCTAAATTAAGGGACATTAGAATAAATATGTCTTACTCGCCTCTTGGCACAATATAATTATGCCTTTATACTGTATTAACACTCATTGTATACATAATATGTATGTGATTATCATGTTTTTATCATTTATAATTATCAACAAGTTTCAGCAACTTTGCAAAACCAAAACCAAAATATAAATAAATAAACACCAAAGAGATCATATTCTCATATATAAAACAATCACTGTTGTGACTAAAATGAACTCCACGAAAAAACTCTCCAACAATATTATTATGTTTCATGATTTATATTCTTAGAGTGAAAACACCATTCAAGCCATTGTCCTTTCCCAACCTTGAACTGGTAAACCTGAGTCAGTTTTTGATGACCATGAAGCCAGAAATAAGCAGTAAATGTCTCTTTAACTTCTCTGGAAATGTTTGCCATGAAACATTTATAATGTCGCAAGAAATCTTTTGCATAGAACACTGACATTGAAGGTTTTCATCTACATTAAGTTTCACAATGGTCCTTAACAGAAACCCCTTAAGTTTTTCATTACACGAGTCACCGTCAATATGAGTTTGATATACATGAAGGTCCTGACCAAAATGATGCTGTGTCTAAATATGAAGTTAATCTATTCATAACAAAAATTGACCTTGATAGTCAAAGACAATTAGAGTTCAAGGTCACATCCAAGTTATTCAATATGTCTGTTTATTAGCAAGTCTTGTTTTGCCCAAATACAAATCAAATCCGTACATAAATAACAAAATTACAATGACAATTTAACCAAATTCAAAATTTAATCTTGACGGTCAAGGTCATTTACAGGTCAAGGTCAGTTCAATCTTTTAGAAGGTCCTGTCCAAAGAAAAATACATCAGAGTTTATCCCCCCTAATTTGTCACATAAAGTATAATGATAAAACGTTTTTATTCATAAGGAATATGTCAGGCTATTTTCACATATTACAAAATGACTACCAGTCTCTTATACAGTATTCTCTAAACCCTTTCTTCTATAACGTTAATGCTTAAAAAATCTAATCCTTCACACGTTGACTGGAAATCAATACCTAATCTTTTTTTTCTTGGGCCAGAAACCAAGACAAAAATATGGAAACTATCAGAGAGTATTTACGCTATTATTTCCGCGCCCTATAATGCCAGTGATAGTCATCTATGGAGGGGAGATTCACATAACAAATAGGTATTGGCAGTAAGAAATATTGAGATCAATTTTATACACTGATAGAATAATCTAATATTCGAATTATCTTAAAGATTATTGTTAAGAAAATTTCACCAAAGGTTAATTTGTGATGCATCTAAGTTCTCTACATTAAGTACATCATATTCTACTATGAAGTCATGTGTTTTTGTTCGTAGAAAGAGATTTACAACGCATATCTGAGCTTTTCTCTAAGCTTTTTCTTATGCACAAGTGAGTTAGTCTACATTTGAACAGAATCACCATCCATCTATGTAAGGTAGAAAGATAATAATTTATGATAAAACCAGATTATTTTCAAAGAAATCAAAAAAAGTTGTTATCATGGTGTTTTTCCAAGCTAATCCAATGGTACAAACAAACTTTAACTTTTTAAAGCTGTAACAGAGGGCACTACCATTCACTATAAACTAGTTAGCATATTGCCCTTATTTTCAAAGTTGTATCTGTAAAAGTGTGATTGTACCCTGAATTAGCTTGGAAAACCCAAAATATCTTTAGTTTGGATGTAAGTCTATTATGAAACCACTTGCTTTCTTCAGTGAAACATTTAAATTTACTTTATATTTCAGTGCCATTTGAATGAATTGTGTTTCCTGTCTTCAGGATCAGACATAATAATATCACCATAATTAGGAAAAGATCTGCGTAGTATTTACTAACCAAGGAATCAAAGTATTTTTAATCAAAGAAACAGAAATAAACTTTGTTTTTAAATTAAATTTTTTGAGACATTTAATCTAAAAGTTTGAAATCTTGTCCTTAAATTTCACAACTGCTGCTTTTTTAAACCATTGGTTCAAAAAATGATCCCAGTATCTGCCTTTCGATATCTGCCTATCTGCCTTTTTTGATATCAATACAAAATTAAAAAGACTGAGGCCCCAGATGCGAAAATCTTTTATGAACCCCCCCCCCCCCCCGACCTCAAACTTTGAAGGATCAAATGAATCTGAAGTATATTCTCTGTCTGTCATACTGCCATTTGTTGGAAATAAACAACAGACAAAAGCCATAATACTATCACAAAATTTCTGACCTTTTTGTGCTCAGGACTTTTGAGCTAAAAATGAAGTATCCTAAATGCTCAAAAATTTCTGGTCTTGTGTTAGCTTAAATAGGCAACAATTTCTGGTCTTGTGTTAGCTTAAATAGGCAACAATTTCTGGTCTTGTGTTAGCTTAAATAGGCAACAATTTCTGGTCTTGTGTTAATATAACATCAGATAATAACAATCCTTGCTATAATTTAATATCTAATGATTGTAGCACATCAATCAAATAAGCTGGGGACTTTAAACAAAAACTAAAACTAAAAGCACACATTATTAAACATGTATGAGCAATATCCTACACTAATTAATCTAGATAATGGATCATAGATTACCATATTAAATGTATTGGAATAAGCCTGCCATACAATTCTAAATATCACAGTGATATTTATCATAATTTGTTATTACATTTTCCCTAAATTCTGTAGTAATATCAGTCATTAATGTTTGCCTATAAACTATGTTCCTCATCTTTAGCTTGTTCTTGTTCTTTTCCCCTTTTTTTAAGGGGAGAGAAAAACTTAGGTTGTGGGGAATTGAACCTACCAAGAATATGTTAAATTTGAAGCAACTCTTTTGTTTTACTCTTATTGAAATAGAGAAAAACCGGCATAACATGGCAAAAAAGAAAAGTTGCAGGCTCGGTTTGATTGAGTCTGTTCATGGCGGTTAGTGATAACTGCAAACTACTGTCCACGGGCCTCCTTGCACTGGTAAAAATTTT